AAAATAATTTAAAAATCCTTCTCAGCGCCCCGTGCTGGGTTGACCATGAGGATGTTCCCTTGGCCGGGGTCCTGCAGCGGCGCCGTTCTCACGCCTGGAGCCGTCACTGGTGTCATTCAGTGGTGGCTTTGGTCATTTTGAGTCATTTTGAGTCATTTTTATTTGTCAGCCTGCCCCACTGGCATCTCCAGAGTCCTCCCCACTTCCATGGGATGGTCCCAGCGGAGAAAACGTTGTTATTTCTTTTTTTTCCCCTCCAGCCGTGGCAGGGTTGTGCCGCACAACCTGTGCTAAGGTTTGGGTCTCCTGCAGCACTGGTTTTTTAACACATGGGTTTTACCAACCCAGTGGGACACAAGACTGGATTTTTGCTTTCATTAATCAGGGAAATGATCTTTAATTACTCAACAGCTGACAGCTCTGCCCCTCTGCTTGTACGCTTTCAACCCTCCGGAAGGTTTTGAGTGAGAATCAACGAGGCAGGTTGGTTTGATAGACAATAAACTGACTGTTGTGATGAGCAGAAAAATAAAAATAAATCTATTTATAGGTGTCACCAGGGCACCCAGCAGCAGTTTTGCATCACTTGGGGCCACACCAAAATTTTACCTGTATCATGAACGTCCAAGTACCAGAAATTCCCGAGTGTGAATGTTGGAAAATGAAGGTACCCCAAACCCTCCGGGATGTTTTCGGTTCTGACGCCGGAGCATTGGACCTGCCGTGTGCCCAAATCCCAGGAAAACAGAATAATCTGAAATAAAGCCCCAGCGGTCGCCCACGTCGAGCAGCCGGGTGCCTCTGCGGCGCTGAAGCTCGAGGATTTGCCAAGACCCTGGTGCGTTGCCAGAATCCCCAGGGTTCAGTGCTGCAGAGGGTTATCTGGAGGGAAAAAAAAATTTAAAAAAAGCAAAAACCCAAACCAAACCTGAGGGCATCGCTTAAATATAAACTTTAAATATCTTAAATATTATGTCTTAGGTAAAATAATATAAATATAGAATAATTATAGTAACATAATGGGTTGGGTGGTGTTGGGTTGACAGTTGGACTTGAAGATCCTTGAGGTCTTTTCCAACCTTCATGATTCGATGATTCTATGATAATAATGTTGACTATAATATATAATTAAATATCAAATGAGATGGAAATAGGGATGTGTTTCCGTGGGTCTGGGAGAGGAGGGTGCAGCGATGTCCGAGAGCCATGGGGCACCGCAGATCCTGGGGATGCTCAGAGGATGCTGCGACACGATGCTTTGGGAGAAAGCAAGAGCAAAAGCCATTTTTTTTAATGAATAGTTGGGGATTAAGGAACAAACCTGCAGTTTTTAGGGCATCTCCAAGTGCCAGGCTGCTGGGGTACCACTTTCCAGAGTCACAAAAACTCCTTCAGGGGCTGACCAGGCGCCTTCGATCTGAGCCATGACCTCTGTGGTGGTTATCACTTGTTTTCCACTTAATGGGGAAAAAAAAAAAAAAAAAAAGGGCTTAATTATTTTAATTATTGGCTGCATCCCCGGCCAAAGGGATTATTTTAATTATTGGCTGCATGCCTGGCCAAAGGGTTTTAATTGTGCTCGTTGCCTTTTAGCATCTTTCTCCAGCCACCTCCACCCCTGATCCTCTCGCACCCGTCCTGGGGACCTGACATGTCTTGGGCCACTCACCCCAGGCAGCAATTAAAAGGTCTAATTAAAAAATGTGGGATATTCGCCCGGGACACAGAGTCCCCCACCTGGGGAGTGCTCCCAGCGGGTTCCCAAAGGTCTCTCCACGTGATATTTTTTGGGGAGGCTCCGTTTCCAGCCTGTCACCGCTGTAACCGCAGGGATGCCCGTCACGCCGTGGAGCACAAAGCCCATCTGACACGGCTCAAAAAACCCTTAAATAGCCCAGCCCGGGCTCCGGCGGGTGTTGTGCTTCCCCAGCTCCATCAGGGGGGTCGGGATCACGTCCCATCGGCCCTTCAGGACCCACGTCCCCAGCCATCGGTGAGACAGAGCTTCTGCCATCGTCCCATCCAGCAAGGATGAGCCTGTGGTGAAGGTAACGTCCCGCCCAGCCCCTTGTTATTGCTAACGGGGTTCAGAGCTGAGGCTCGAGGGGTTAAGGCTTTCCTTTTTCTCTTTTCTCTTTTTCTTTTCTTCTTTTCTTTTCTTTTCTTTTCTTTTCTTTTCTTCTTTTCTTTTTTTCTTCTTTTCTCTCTTTTCTTTTCTTTTCTTTTCTTTTCTTTTCTTTT